TGGACTAAAGCCATGTGAAGCGAACCGTAAACACAAAACGTAAAGGCAGGGGGCGTCTAGGAAAACCTATGGAACATAATTGGACGACGGTCTCGTTGACCTCATACGGCGTCGAAATCAATGAAGAATGAGTGCGCACAAACTCGGTTCAGAGGGAATGAACAACCGTCGCATCATGTCAATGCAGTGGAATGGGAAAATGCCATAAGGCCAATCTTAACAGGCGGTTCAAATAATTTGTTATTTAATAATCACTTCTCAAAAATTATTACTGTCTTTAGAAATGTGCGGCTTTGACTTGGCTTTTGCCGAACGCCGTTAGAGAAGACGCGTTTTGCCGTCAATAGCTCACGACGAATCGCACGCATCTGCTGTCAGTCTACAGCCGACCAGCTCGTGAAGGTTTTGCTTTTCATACCAAATTCCATAGACTACACTGAGCAACAATCAAAAAGGATTGAAAGCACATAAAAACGTACCGCATTTGCACTGTCCGCCAAAGTCTAGACAAAAAGAGCGACCAGGCAGACAGAAAAAATTATTTTTCTCGCTTGTTGACTGCGATGAGCCGACTATAGAACTGAAACGCGCACAACGAACATAACAGAATTTGGGATTTCGTTTAAATTTACTCAGTGCTATCGAGGTCTTACGCCGGGAAATGGAACTCCTTACGTTGCTTTCAAAAAGCACGTTCAGAATAGCGTCGGCGATGATGGAGCAAAGAGGATAGCATGCTGCATGTCGTTATATGCCTAAATGAACCGTTTAGCCGTGAAGATTGGTTTATGCATACTTTGCCAACTTATTAATGACATAAGAGAAGCAGGTCAGCAATAAGTGTGCAACACCGAGGTTATGTGATAGCCCCCCCCCCATTATTGCTAATACAGTGTTACCACGGATCAGTCAGGTGAAAGTTTACGGCATGCAACTCGGATCCTTACTGACACCGTTTGAGTCGTATCGCCTGTTCCAGTTGTTGTTGAAAATGCAGGAGTGGTGGGAGGGGGGAACGTCTGCCTTCGAATCGGATTTGTTTGAAACTACCATAGAAATGAGCCGTGATCGAGGCAGACACTCGCTTCTGACGGCTGAGCAATTCTTCACACGGTTCATTTGGAAAAATTATATTTTTGGGATTTCAAGCATCCACGCCTTTAAGGAAGTAGTCAGTTCAAATAATTCTCCCTCAAAACCGTTACTCAACACCACACCCCTTACATGCTCAAAATAAATTGAATTGACCACAAACAATGACTGGTAAGAACCACCAAAATACGTAAATTGATTTAGTCGGTCGTTTGCGGTCTGACTGTATTCAATATTATTCTGATGATGCGAGTTGCCTGAGTTACAGCGTGAAGCGTGCTTGCGAACGTGGTTTGAATCCTGTCCTACTCAGTGATGTACTGCTACATATATATGGTGCGTGGTCAAACGCCATAGACCTGTGACTTGCTTGAATAATTCCATACATGTCTACAAGCATACGGTGGTGCACCCTTGACGTATAACCAGGCGCTATGACTCTCATCGTTAGTTACGACGGCTCTCCTCGCATTACCCATCGATGGTCGGTATAAACTAAATAGATTTAATAGATTAAATCACAGTTATATTAATTAATATCTATTCTCATTGGTATCCAGTGCAATGGAAGGGACCATTTCTTTCACACGTAAATTTCGGTAGACGTGGGAGCGGTCAATGGGTATCAGAACGGTAATTTCGTTTTGACAGATGTTCTTTATAGTTGTAATATACGACGATACTCCTCGTATGATTTCGCTTTAACCTCATATTTCTGAACTACACTGTCAGATAAAATATATTATCGTTTGTTTACCGTTATCACCTTTAGTCTCTCAACGTTTGGCTGATACAAGTCTACGTTTCGGTTACTTTATATGCACCCGCCTAGAAACACCGCATGATGATTATGCGGTAGCATATATGGGCCAGTTTCTAGTATATAACTTATAATTTGCTCTACGAACTGCTGGTGATATGAGGCAGATTTGGAATTGCAGGTGCAAACATGTGATGAAGTTGTGCGTTGGTCAAATTGCCCCTAGGCTACAAGTAGCAACATAATACACAATACTCAGTGAAATCTGCACTGACGTAACGTATCGCTAGCTGAAGCAGTAACAGAACCAAGAAAATCATACATTCATCGAAAAGAATGGAAATTGAGTCAAAGATTTCGCAAACTGCCCTTTAGCCTGAAAATCTACGCTTTTGATCATTGTCCCATTAGGGTGCTACCGTATGGCTGCGAAACACGGACGGAAGCATTGTGAATTATTCTCAGACTGGAGTTGCCCTCATTCACCTGCAAACTTTGGGAATCGACCTCCGCCTTTAGATCACAATAAACGAGCGAAATGAGTGAAAAACACTGAACATCCTAACCACGGGATTGTCATTCCTCGTTCTGCACCAAAACAAACTGCTTTGATGAACCATTGATTTAGCTTATGATTTCGCTGAGTCAGATTGAGGTTTCTTCCGATTTGCTACAGTAATGTCTACTGTTGTACAGAATTGTTCATTATATTCTACCGGAGTTACAACGGTTCGCAGGAAATTTTTTAAACCCAGTAATTGGAGTTTGCCATCGATCGATGATTTGTGTTCTTTCATGATCCAAAGTAACATATGGTAGTAAATACCATATAATTAAAACTTAACGTCGTGTATTCGAGCATTCATTTTCGTTCATTCCATACAGTATCTACCATTTCGACCTTATAATTTCTACTGACACGTAGCATCAGAAAATACAGTTACACCAGCTGATCGATGATATGAAGCCTGATTTGTCGTCTTACCGCTGTTCTGCATCGGCCGTCGCAATTTTTTTTGTCGAACTGATTTTAATCAAAAATATCGCCATCCTTGTTAGATGCCTCGACTGTGCGATATGATGAAATAATGATTTTGTTTTTACACGGTATTTGCAGAAAAACAGCTAAAACGTTTGAAACGCACGTAAACCGTGTGTTATTAAACAGCTGCCGTCGTATAGTGCCAAAATCGGGCTGGAAAGAGCATTGTTAGTGGTCGGTGATGGCAGTGAAAGGTGAACGATTGAAATCGGGTGATGTCCGAGTTACTTGTTCCTCAGCACTCATCGTGTTGCTGGCAGCGAGCACGTTAACCTCTGTGAGAGCAGAAGAAGAGTATTTGGCCGAAAAGTGCACAAAAGATACCCAATCCTTTTCCCTTGTGGAATTTGTCGTATCACTGAACGAGACCGTGGCGGTAAGAGCGTCAATATTTCAAGGTGGCTCCTCGAAATATGTCTTCCTTCTTTTCAATGCGTTGCGGCCTTTTTCTCGTACACGAAAACGGAACGAGAAGCTGAACGAAATGTAAATATCTACGAAACAGTAATTGCATATTTTGTAACTCGCAATGTTCTTAGTCCTAGGAGTATCGACATCTCGTCTATTGACGCATATTTCAACCGTTTCGATGGATCCTATTCCGCCAAGAAACCAGACTGGTTCGTCGAACTTGTCCATGATCGGTCTGTGCGGTTGGGCATTCTTATATTTGATCGAGATCGCTTTACAAATGTCGTCAAAATGAAATCGTTCGCCGTAAGCCGATCGAGGCGTTTCAGAGACATCAGCAACGATTGCGTGGTGCCCAAGTGGGAACACGATCGTAAGCAAAACCTAACCTGCACATCACACATCTTAAACATTTGTTTTAGCTTTTTACACTGCCACGGATCTTTGCCACGTGTTTGGTTCGCCGCTTCGAGTCGGACGCTGCCCAACCGGCAAGGGGTTGCCTGGCGACTCAGTTTGTGGCACCCTCAAGAAAACTGTCGCTGTAGACGACTGTGTGAGTATATCATTGGCTTCTGTATTCGTGCCTTGCATCTGGAAGACAGACGATGCATTAAATACATTGCTATTAAATTATTATTACATATTAAATACTTTGCATAACTCCGGCATGGCCGGTCCCAAGCCCGGATGAGAAAAATGGAGGGTTGGAGACCGTGGCAAGTCTCCGTAAAATTAAGCCACCTGCCACTCATCGCATTGACGCCTTCGAAAATTATGCCCGCTCGGTCGTCGCCCGGGTTACCAAGGGCTGCGCAGGCTGTTGGGGGACTGAGGCAGACTGCGAAAAGTC